CAACTTTATTTTAAAAGTTAAATTAATGTAGTAAAAATAACCATAACTATAATCATCCATTAGTTACATAAAAATACATAAATCATGACAGCAGTATCCTAAAATGTGAGGTGGAGGAGAAGCTAAAGTGTAAAGTTTAGGAATTCTATTGAAGTTGTAACAGCTTAAAATATGGTGTTATAATTTTAAGATAGTTTGTGTAAGCTTTTTGATAATCTCAAGGGAAAAACCTGTAGCAGTTACACAAAAGGACATGATAAAGAAGTCAAAGCAACATTAGCATATGTAAAACAGATAGTGGGAAGTTGCTATGTAACACAGGGACCCCAACCCTGTGCTCTGTGACAAGAGGGTGGGGACATATATATATACTTACGGCTGATTCACGTTGTTGTATGGCAGAAACCAACACAACTTTGCAAAACAATTATTCTCCAATTAAAAATAAATTAAAAAAAAGAAGTCAAGGCATACTGATACCAAAAGACATCAAACCACATGCACACACAAAACAACAGGCTAATAAACAAGGAATAATGGATCTATAAAGCAACCAGAAAACAATTAACAAAATGGCAATGGTAAGTCCTTACCTATCAATAATTACTTTAAATGTAAACAGATTAAACCCTCCATCAAATGACAAAGAATAGCTAAATCAGTTTATATTACTTACTATGTGGATCATCACAAACTGGAAAATTCTTAAAGAGATAGGAATACCAGACCACCTTACCTGCCTTCTGAGAAACCAGTATATTGGTCAAGAAGCAACAGTTAGAACCAGACATAGAACCCGACTGGTTCAAAACTGGGAAAGGAGTACATCAAGGCTGTATATTGTCACCCTGCTTATTTAACTTATATGCAGAGTACATCATGAGAAATGTGGGGACCAGTCAATCCTAAAGGAAATAAACCCTGAATATTCATGGAAAGACTGATGCTGAAGCTGAAGCTCCAATACTTTGGCCACCTGATGCTAAGAGCTGACTCCTTGGAAAAGACCCTGATACTAGAAAAGATTGAAGGCAGAAGGAGAAGGGGATGACAGGATGAGATGGTTGGATGGCATCACCAACTCAATGAACATGAGTTTAAGCAAGCTCCAGGCGTTGGTGCTGGACAGGGAAGCCTGGAATGCTGCAGTCCTTGGGGTCACAAAGAATTGGACATGACTGAGCAACTGAACTGAACTGACTTCAATTTATATTCAGACCATAAGATTAAGAAAGCGAGTTATATACACCGAAAACTACAAAACTTTGCTAAAAGAAATTAAAGATGATGTAAATAAATGGAAAGACACCCCTTGTTCATGTATTGGAAGACTTAATATTGTTAAAAATGACAGTACTAAACAATGCTCCATAAAGTCAATGCAATACCTATACCAATATCAATGTTTTTGCAGAAATTAAAAAAATCCTAAAATTCATAAGGAATATCAAAAGACCCCAAGTAGGCAAAATAAACTTGAAAAAGAAGAATGAAGTTGGAGGATCATACCTCCAGTTTTCAAAACTTATTGAAAAGCTACAGTAATCAAACAGTGTGGTACTAGCATAAGGGCAGGCATATATGGCAATGAAAAGACTAGAGAGCCTAGAAATACACTCTTGCATATGTGGTCAGTTGATTGTCGACAACAGTGCCAAGACTATTCAATGGAGAAAGGAAAGACTTTTCAGCAATGGTGCTGGGAAAATTGGATATCTACATACAAAAGAATGAAATTGGATCCTTACTTTATAGCATATGCAAAAGTTAAGTCAACACAGATCAAAGACCTGAGTGTAAAAATAAAGATATATAACTCTTAGAAGAAAACACAGAAGAAAAGCTTCATCATATTGGATTTGGCAATGATTCTCAGATGTGACATCAAACATATAAATAACAACAACAAAAAATAAATTGGAGTTGGTCAAAGTTAAAACTTTTGCAGCAAAGGACACTATTAAGAGAGTGAAAAGACAACTCACAGAATTTGAGAAAATGTTTGCAAATCATATATATTTAATAAGGGGTTAATATTGAAACTATATAAAGCATTCCTACAGCTCGATATCCACAAAAAAACAAACAGCCCAGTTCAAAAATGGACAAAGGACTTGAGTAAATGGTTCTCCAAAGAAGAATACAGGACTTTTTTGGTGGTTCATGCCTCCAGGTTTGATTGCTAGTCCGAGAACTAAGATCCCACATGCTGCATCAGTTCAGTTCAGTTCAGTCCCTCAGTCGTGTCCGACTCTTTGTGATCCCATGGACTGCAGCACGCCAGGCCTCCCTTTCTATCACCAATTCCCAGAGTTTACTCACACTCAGGTCCATTGAGTTGGTGATGCATCCAACCATCTCATCCTCTGTCGTCCCCTTCTCCTGCCCTCAGTCCTTCCCGGCATCAGGGTCTTTTCCAATGAGTCAGTTCTTAGCATCAGGTGGCCAAAGTATTGGAGTTTCAGCTTTAACATCAGTCCTTCCAATGAATATTCAGGGCTTATTTCCTTTAGGATTGACTCGTTTGATCTCCTTGTAGTCCAAGGGACTCTCAAGAGTCTTCTCCAACACCACAGTTCAAAAGCATCAATTCTTTGGCACTCAGCTTGCTTTATAGTCCAACTCTCACATCCATACATGACTACTGGAAAAACCATAGCCTTGACTAGATGGACCTTTGTTGACAAAGTAACCTATTTGGAACCAGTCTGTTGTTCCATGTCCAGTTCTAATTGTTGCTTCCTGACCTGCATACAGAACATGCTGCATGATGCAGCCAAAAATAAAGTAAAACAAACCTTCAAAAAAGGAAGAAGAAATACGATGGCCAGAAAGCACATGGAAATATGCTCACTGTCACTAATCATTAGAGAAATGTGAATGAAAACCACAATGAGATACCACTTCACACTCATTCAGATATTTACCACAGTAATAGTGTAAGTAATGAACTAAGGATATGGAGACTGATATTCTGAATCTACTTCTAAGCAGTGGGAAGTAGTATTGGGAGACAAAAAGAAACAAATTTAAGAGATACGGCAGAGAGAGAGTCAACTAACTCTCTGGGTAATGAAACTGTTGGTGAAGCTATTATCTAAGAAAATAGAGAAGAGAATTAGAAGAAAGATTTTAAAATTTCATGTTTAGACTTCTTGAGAATGTGACTCCAATATATATGTATAGGAGGGAGCTGGAAATATGACTCAGCTGGAGAGATTTGGGAGTTACTAGCACATGATGACTGCTAAAACAGGAGTCTCATCTCATTTCCGAGATGAGACATCTCTCGGAAAGAGTTCAGATGATAAGGCAAGAGGATAGAAGGTGGAACTCTTGAAAATACTGTAATTTAAAAGATGACAAGGACTTCCCTGGTGGTCCAGTGGTTAAACCCCACACTTCCAACGCAGAGGGTGTGAGTTGGGTCCCTGGTCAGGGAATTAAGATCCTACAAGCCACGTGGTACAGCCAGAAAGAAAAAGAAGAGAACAGTAATCGACTTTGCCAAATGTTATAGAGAGAAAATAGGATGGGGATTGAGTGGAGCTCATTGGATTTGGCATGGAGGCGGGTCTTTAATAATGTGTTCTAGCCACAGAAATCAGATTGCAACTGGGATTTTATGAGTCAATGCAGATGAAGCAAAAGGAGTCTTTTATTCAAGGAATCTAGTAGTGAAAGGAAGAACAGAAACAGGTAGGGTTGGTTTGTTTGTTAAATAATGATGACCGACACATGTTTGAAAGCTGTAGGGAAGAAACAAGAGGAAAATATTGAAAAATACTCAAGAGACAGTGAGATATAATGAAACAGCATAGATTTGAGAATAGGTTTAAATCAATAGGTTGCCACTTTACAGCAGTGTGATGTTGGGCAAGTTACCAAATCTCTCTGATCTCTGGATTCCTCAAGTGTGAAATGGAGGTGACAGCAATTTCAGAGGGCTACTGGGAGGGTATTTTATTTAAATCAGAATTATATGTAACATCCTCAAACAGTACCTAATCTCAGAGCAGGTCTTTGATAAATAGTTGTTTTAAGAAGGAATAAGGGACAGCTGATGGTGCAAGATTTAGAAAATGAAGGGGAACAGGAATAGAAGTGGCAGAGTCTTCTGAAACAAGAGGAACTCCTAAAAAATAGACTGTACCTCAGTAATGTTGGCTTCCTCAGCATCTTGCCCAATTCCTAGTATATACTGAGTAAATTTTTGTTGAGAAAAAGGTAAAAATATCAAGATTTAGCCTTGAGAACCATTAGGTGGAAAATTAATACTATCTTCAAATGCTTGGAAGAGGAATGAAATTTAATACATATGGCTTCAACAGGCAGAATGAAAGTCAAGACACTTATTCAGCATAAGGAAAGGCTTTCTAAGAATTAAAGCTGTACAAAATTTAAATCAGGTTCTTTCCAAGGTTCATCATCACAAAAGGTATTTTAAGTAGAAAGCCAAATGGTATAGTTATGGTTATGTGTGTGGATTTTCATTCTGACGCACCTGGATTTGACCCCTGATTTTGTTGCTTTCCAGTCTGGGTCTCCCTCTAGCAAAGAGTGGTTGTGGGGAGTAGTGGAAACTGTGTATGAAAAAATGCCTGGCTCAATAATTATTTCAGACTAGAGAACCCTTTATTTCAGTACTGTAAGAAGGATTCAAATATAGGACAGAGAATTGAACTAAACCCTTAAAATACCTCTTTGAACTCTTAAGATTCTGTGACAGTATAACACAGCTATATTATTTGATCACATTGGTACACCTTGTAGGTTCTGGAACCTTATTTAAAACCACTGCACTACAAAGTATCAGAGGAGGATTAGGATACAGGTTGCCCCTTTCCAAATGTGTTAGTCTCCCCACCATGTCAAAGGAACAGACCAGTAAAGGTGCAATGTCAGGACTTAATAGGTGAGAAGAGTTTTAAAACATCCCCTAAAGAAAAAAAAAAAAAATCCCCTAAAAGAATAAAAGTAGGAATGTTCTGAATACATACGTAGCGTCCTTAGTGCAGTGGGCAGCCGTGAGGACCCATCTGTTTTTCACTAAGCTTCCTGCACATACATGAGCACGATATCTGCCAGACTGAATCTGTAGGCTAACTAGCCATGGCCATGCGCCAGTTTGAGCTTCTGTGCCCCCTACAATCCGAGACCCCTTGAACATACGCATAAGTGGTGCTATTCCACAATCTAAAAATAAAAACGATATATTATTTGAACTGAACATATTATTATATGTATTAGTTTCTAATCTTAATACATTAATATAATCTTTAAATTCCTATTTAAAAAAACTGATAGAGCAAGCTGGATACCTAAACTATGCCCATATTTTGACCAAAAAATCTTAGCGAGTTAAAACAAACGATTTCTAATTGCACACAAATAGACATCAAATAAGCTCAATTCATGAATTTTAAAACTTTACTTCTGAAAAGTGTAATATTGAGATAAGTTTCTCTGGTCAGGTAATGCATTTTTCCCTATCTGAAATGGCAACTGAGAGCTCCTGGGACTGGTGAACCAAGAGCTACAATTTCTAATAACTTGACGTTTAACTTGTGGGGTTAATTTTTATCAACTGTAGCATGAAAAAGTCACCTAACAGCCCTTTCAGCTTTGAATTTCAGTGAACTATTAATCTGTAAAATGGTACTGACACACCCCAGACTAAGGTGCATATACAGACGCACAAGTGTATGGCATTGCTACCTAAGCACTACTGTTACAGTCATCATTAAAATAGAACTGCTAGGGTCTGTAAATGTTTAGGTAAAGGCAGTTGGTAAAAACAGAAAGGAGGGCCCCAAATTCAAACACTACTTAAGTGGGACAAAAGAAAGAAAGGGCGACTGTCTAAAGAAGAGAACAGATACTGCCCTTTGCGTCCAACTCTTCCTGTTCCCGGGCCTCGCGCGCCTTCTGTACTCTGGGCCTCCTACTCACGGCCTCAGGCCACCCCAGACCGCCAGCCTGTTCCCGCGAGGAGCCGCGCCTACTGCTCTCAGAGAAGAGCGAGTAGTGTTCTGAACATACGCGAGCGCTCGCCAGAAACAGCAGCGCTGCGCTCAGGAGCCCCAGCGCCATGTCTGAACTCCCGGTGGGCAAGATGGCGGCAGGCATTTCTTGCCGGCTCCCGCCTCGCCACGAGCTCGTGGCCCTGCGGCCTAGGTAATGTGGTTTGCGAGGTGGGAAAGAGGGGAGCGGAAGGCGGTGTCGAGGCGCGCGGGGCGGCGGGGGAGGACTGCGCACGTGAAGTAGGCTAGGAGCATTACGTGAGGCTGGTGAGGCTGCCGAGATAACTTGGATGAGGCAGGCCTCACCCCTGTTCCAGTTACCGGACAGACGGAATATCTCGCCCTCCGCCAGGGTCTGGGGATTCCCTAACTGATGAGACCTTCCTGAGCCAGATCTGCACGTGTAGACGGTACTGTAAGACTGTTGTGGTAAGAAGGGAGCTGCTGGAACCACTGGAGGGCGCTGCTAGCTCAGATTTCCAGAGCCAGGAAGGCTTCCAGAAGGAAGAGCATCTAAACTGAAGTGGGTAAGCTGGAGAAGGGAGATGTAAAGCAGAAGGCAGACAAACACGGAGGTTGGGATCTGAGGCCAATTTCAGTTGTACACGTTGATCTTACTATAGTTTTGTAGTAGTTTACCTTCAACTGATCATCTTAGCGTGAGCTGATAGAATAAAATTTCAGTTCAGTTCTGTTCAGTCGCTCAGCCGTGTCCGACTTTGCGACCCCATGAACCGCAGCACATCAGGCCTCCCTGTCCATCACCAACTCCTGGAGTTTACCCAAACTCATGTCCATTGAGTCGATGATGACATCTAACCATCTCATCCTCTGTTGTCCCCTTCTCCTCCTGCCTTCAATCTTTCCCAACATCAGGGTCTTTTCAAATGAGTCAGCTGTTTGCATCAGGTGGCCAAAATATTGGGAGTTTCAGTTTCAACATCAGTCCTTCCAATGAACTCCCAGGACTGATCTCCTTTAGGATGGACTGTTTGGATCTCCTTGCAGTCCAAGGGACTCTCAAGAGTCTTCCCCAACACCATAGTTCAAAAGCATCAATTCTTTGGCACTCAGCTTTCTTTATAGTCCAACTCTCACATCCATACATGACTACTGGAAAAATCATAGCCTTGACTAGACGGACCTAGTTTTGTTGGCAAAGTAATGTCTCTGCTTTTGAATATGCTGTCTAGGTTGGTTATAACTTTCCTTCCAAGGAGTAAGCGTCTTTTAATTTCACGGTTGGAATCACCATCTGCAGTGATTCTGGAGCCCCCAAAAATGAAATCAGCCACTGTTTTCACTGTTTCCCCATCTATCTGCCATGAAGTGATGAGACTGGATGCCATGATCTTAGTTTTCTGAATGTTAAGCTTTAAGCCAACTTTTTCACTCTCTTTCGCTTTCATCAAGAGGCTCTTTAGTTCTTCTTCACTTTCTGCCATAAGGGTGGTGTCATCTGCATATCTGAGGTTATTGATATTTCTCCCAGCAATCTTGATTCCAGCTTGTGCTTCCTCCAGCCCAGCATTTCTCATGAGGTACTCTGCATATAAGAAATAGGTACAGTGACAATATACAACTTTGACATACTCCTTTTCCTATTTGGAACCAGTCTGTTGTTCCATGTCCAGTTCTGACTGTTTCTTCCTGACCTGCATAGATGTTTCTCAAGAGGCAGGTCAGGTGGTCTGGTATTCCCATCTCTTGAAAAATTTTCCACAGTTTATTGTAATCCACACAGTCAAAGACTTTGGCATAGTCAATAAAGCAGAAGGAGATTTTTTTTCTGGCACTCTCTTGCTTTTTCAACGATCCAGCGGATGTTGGCAATTTGATCTCTGGTTCCTCTGCCTTTTCTGAAACCAGCTTGAACATCTGGAAGTTCACAGTTCACGTATTGCTGAAGTCTGGCTTGGAGAATTTTGAGCATTACTTTACTAGCGTGTGAGATGAGTGCAATTGTGCAGTAGTTTGAGCATTCTTTGGCATTAACTTTCTTTGGGATTGGAATGAAAACTGATCAAATTTAAGGACCTACAAAGGTGAGGCCACAGCCTGACTGGAGATCATTGTACCTCACCCCAAACACACACACATACTCTTCAGGCCCCAGCCTGAGAGATAATTTCCCTTGCCCCATTAGATTGCCGACATTGCAAACACTGTGGTTGCAACACTGTGGAAAGAGAGCGCAGATAAATGGGCTTAGTTATTCAATCCATTGAACAAGTAGATATTAACCTCACATTTTGTACCATACACCAAAATAAGTATCATATTAAGGGAGGTTTGTTAAGACCTGGCCCTCCAACCCGGAGAACATTATACCTTGGTTAGTGGAGAAAATCAGGGATCATTCACTTGGGGTTAATGAAGAAGGAAGTCCTGAAAACCAAGCCTAGTATGAATTCAGACACAGGGGATTGGTGGCAGTTGTGGCAGTTTGGGAACACTGCCTGTAAGAGGAGGATGTGAGCTGAGCTTAGAAGGGGAAGATCAAGAAGGAGATGTAATAAAGACAGACTAAGGCATCGATATGTTTATATCTATATGTTTATATCTATGTGTTTCTCCAGAGAAACAGCTGATAGGATATACAGATGTAGATATACAGATGTATTGTTTTACTCACTAAGTCACGTCTGACCCTTTTGTGACTCCATGGACTGTAGGCTGCCAGGCTTCTCTGTCTGTGGGATTTCCCAGGAAAGAATACTGGAGTGGGTTGCTATTGCCTTCTCCAGGGGCTCTTCCCAACCCAGGGATGGAACCCACATTTGATTGTTTACAACTGAGTCACCAAGGAAGCCCGATAGGTATATAGAGATATATGAGATTTTTTTAATGGGAATTAGTTCACACAATCATGGAGGCTGAGAAATCCCATGATATGCCATCTGCAAGCTGGAGAACTAGGAAAATCAGTGTTATAATTCAGCCCCAAGCCAAAGGCCTGAGAACCAGAACCAGGAGCTCTGAAGTGGGAGGACAGGAGAGATGGATGTTCCTACTCAAGAGTAAAGAGGTAGACATTGCCCTTCCCGCACCTTTCTGTTATGTTTGGGCCCTTAATGAATTTTATTGGATGATAGCTATCCACATTAGTGAGGGCAGATTTTTACTCAGTCTACCAGTTCAGAGGTTAATCTCTTTCAGAAACACCCTTATAGACACACCCAGAAATAATATTTTTCCAGTGACTTTGGTGTCATTTAGCCCTATCAAATTGACACATAAAATTAACGACAGTAGTGATAATATCTAGACAGCATATTAAAAAACAGAGACATCATTTTGCTGACAGAGGTCCATATAGTCAAAGCTATGGTTTTTCCAGTAGTCATGTACAGATGTGGGAGTTGGACCATAAAGAAGGCTGAATGCTGAAGAATTGGTGCTTTCGAACTATGGTGCTGGAGAAGACTCTTGAGAGCCCCTTGGACAGCAAGGAGATGAAACCAGTCAGTCCTAAAGGAAATCAGTCCTGAATATTCATCGGAAGGACTGATGCTGAAGCTGAAGCTCCAGTACTTTGGCCACCTGATGCGAAGAGCCAACTCATCAGAAAAGACCTTGATGCTGGGAAAGATTGAGGGCAGATGAGAAGTGGGGGACAGAGGATGAGCTGGTTGAATGGCATCATCAACTCAATGGACATGAGTTTGAGCAAGCTCTGGGAGATGATGAAGGACAGGGAAGCCTGGAGTGCTGTAGTCCATGGGGTCGCAAAGAGTGACTGAACAACAATGATAATACAGTGTTTGTTTATAACTTTATTTATTTATTTTTTACTGTTTTCTGTTGTTTTACAGAGTCTAAAGAGGGAAACCATGTCTTAAAAATTTTAATCAGGGTATATAAGAGAAAAACCAAAGTTGAAGTCTTCCTGGTTTTGCATTTGATTTGATTCTGTTTGGAGTTCAGGATCATATATGACCCTTCTTTCCCTTAGCAGAACAATTAAACTTTGGTTTTGGATATGCAGTAGTAGCCTTGGACCCTGCTTTGTACTTAAGGGTGTAAGTATGCTCAGCATAATGAAGAGAAATTTTTCAGTGCAGAGGAGGCTGGGGGAGGGAGAAGAAAGAAGCGAGCCGCCCAGCTACATGGCAGGCCAGGCTTGAGCCAAAAAGATGTCTATGAGAGTTTCACTGTGGTAGGTTGACCCAAGGTTTTTATGAACAATGATGTGTAACATTTGATTTTAAATTGTTTTATCATTGCCATATTGAACTGTGCTAAAGTTTGCCTCTGTTAACCCAACTACTTCAGTAACAAGAGCATAGTGTGGGCTGTGGTAGTCTGGTAGGCTGGTCACATGGTGGGGATTGGAAGTAAGGGTCAGCAAAAGGACAGTGCCTAGCTCATGTCATCCTCTGAGGTTGTCATGGCTGGCAGCATTAAATCTAAGGAGGCTATCCGTTGAGGCTTACAGGTATTAAGAAGTAGAAAGACAACAGAAGTGTAGGGCTGAACTGAAATTCACTGAGAGGGAGGCAGGGGTATTGGCAAAACACATTGCAGCACAAACTGACCCGACCCAGGAGCAGAAAAGGAAACAAATTTCCTGTTCCCCAAATAGTTTGGTGGAAGGTGATACCTGAAAGTGGGAAAACACAGTTGGGGTATGTTTCTGTGGGGGAGAGATGTGATCAGATTGGGTATGCATTGTAAGCAGGGCAAGATGATGGGTCTTGCTGTGGCAAATAATAGAGATTTGACAAATTTCTCTTCAATATCCTGGTCAAAAATAGGTGCATGCAGCCAAGTCATAAACTGGCAATGAAAAGTACAGTGGACCAGTCAATATGTGCAAAGGTTCGGATGCCTTTGCACTTGTGGTGGAATGCCTTTGCTTTCTCTAGGTCTTCGTTCTTCTCTCCTGCACTGTTACTTCCTTTCTTTGTGGGATTACTCCAGTCAGCAGACAAATATCCTCTGGAGTGGTAGGCAGCTTCAAAAATGGCCTCTGTCCACACCCTTGGTAAGTTGCCTCCGTTTAGAGTTGGCTGGATTTAATGACACGCTTGTAGCAAATAGTGACAGAGGGAATGGGCTGTCACTTCCAGGATTAGATTATAATAAGATTGTGGCCTGTATTTTTGTCTAGTTCTCTTGCTCTGTGGAAAGTTGGCTACCATG